CTAGGCCGCAACACCTACGTCACGGGGGACGGAAACTGCACCGAGGAGCTCATCTCCTCCCTACAAAACGGGGGGAGAAAGAACTAATTAAACCCCACTTAAGCAGAAGGAAGGACAAAATAAATGTCAGAGTAGAAATCAATGAAACAGAGCCCTGAAAAACAATCAAGAAGATCAATAAACCTGGTGTGGTTGTCTGAGGAGGTCGGTCACGTTGACAAACCTCCGGATTGATCTGGACGCCAGACACCGAAGACAGAGATGGTCACTTCCAGGGTCTTGGATGTGAGACGGACGGGGGCATCATCCTGCTCATCGTGTTGACTCTGGGGATGCTTTTGTGGGTGTCGGCACTTATCAAATGTACCAAGTAACCGTTGGGCTAAAGAAGAAGCCAGAAGGGGAACTTATCAAATCACACACATTAATATGTGTGGTTATCACATCCCTGTGAGAGCTCGAGGAAGCTGCAAACAAAACCCAAAAGCATTTTTTGGGAGAAATTTGGAAAGACCTCAATAAAGGAGTCTCAGAGAAGATGGAGGTGGACGCTCGGCCGCAGGCCCCAGGTCCCTGGTGACTCCTCAGACTCTAGCTTCGGCCTGAACAGGCAATGCCTGCAAATGAGAACAGAGCACCCTCACAGAGCCTGAAATAAAGCTTGGAGTCCCATCAATGCCTGATTGTATCGAGGAGTGGGCCCCTACCCTATTTGACGGACAGAATAAAAAATGAATTCTCTCTGAATAAGAAAGACACCTCCCAGAGCCTCGAGGTTTTCCATCAGGATGGTCATCATTTATCCCAAAATGACCAGGTGTGCCAAGAAACAGGATCCCACAAGCCAAGAATAAATGGTGGACACGGACAGACGGGTCACCATATCAGAAAATCCCTGCAGTGAACCTTAAAATGTGATTAATATGGGCAAGACAATGGATGGAAAAAGCGGAGAATTTCATCAGGGAATTGACGTCTAAAGAGAAAAATACCAGATGGATGTTTGAGAAGTGAAATCTAAAATAACCAAAATCAACAATTGAATAGATGGTTTTAACAGCGGATTATGGAGAGCAGAAGAGGGGATTTGAGAAGTGGAAACTGGGTGAGCAGGAGAATACCCAGGGGGAAGGGCGGAGGGCAGGCCAGGAGTAACGATGCAGAGCAGAGTGCCAGATGCTGGAGCACATGGGGCCTGGGGGTCACTGCTGTCCCAGAGGCAGGGGGCTGACCGCGGAGGGCGAAGAAGCAATATGTGAATGATATTGGCCAAGGATTAAAAAAAAAAAAAAACATGAAAGACCAAAACTATAGATTTAAGACACTCAATGAATTTTAATTAGCATAAATACAAAGAAAATACACTTACGGACATCCTAGTAAAACTGCAGAAAGTCAAAATTTAAAAGCATCCAGGAGAAACTGATACATTATCCTTAGAGTGCAACGGAAAGAGACAAAGCAGAATTTTTCAACAGAAATGAAAGCAGGAAGACAATGGAATGGTGTCCTGGACGTGCTGAATGGCAAGGACGGCCAACTTTCAATTCCGTATGGGGGGCCGGTTACTGCTGCGGGGCCCCTCTCTCTGGCTGCTGCCCAGCGGCTCCCCCACACTGCGGGGACACTCCCTGTGCCCTCTCACGGTCCCCCACCTCGGGGCTGTGCATCCTGGGCCTGTGATGTCTGCAGCCAGGCCCTGGAGGGCAGGCTCCCCTCCAGACGCTCCCCCTGCACACAACACCCACCCCTCTCCCTGCTCCCAAGAGCTCCCCACAGGAGGCCCCGGGCAGCTGCAGAGGCCTCTCAGGGTCAGCCGGGGTCCCCCTCTCTGGAGGCCCAGCTCCCACTCCGGGGTTCCCGCCTACCCAGGGAGTTCCACTCCCTGCCTGGGGCAGTCTCCCCTTGTCTCCACGGGCTTGCAGGACGGGCTTGCAGGACGGGCTTGCAGGACGGGTAGCTGGAGAGAAGGAAGCTCTGGGTGCTTCCCTGGCTCTGCAGCTGCGGCCTTGGCCTTGCCCTGGTGCTCTGTCCCCTTAGCTTAGCGTCTGTGTGTCCTTGCTTGGGTGAGGATTTCCCTCCCGCCCCCAGGGCCAAGTGAGTCTCGTCCACACTAGCAGCAGCTGGGGCCTGGAACTGCCCCCCACCCCCCAGGAGCCTGCAGTGGTTCGGGTCTGAGCACCCTGCATGGCCAAGTTGGAGTGACTGGAACCCCAAGGGAGACCCTGAGCCACAGCCACCCTGCTAGGCTCTCCTGGATCCCTGACCCCGAGAAACAGCAGGAGATGACAGATGTTTGTCATTTCAAGCCGTCAAGCTCAGTGCTAATTTGTCCAGCAGCAGCTAATAATTAATACACGATGTTGGGGGTGTGCATGCCGTGCACTCCCGGCTACTCTCCTGGGGTCCCCTGGGGTCGTAGTGGACAACGCCCGCCCACAAATAGAAGGCTCAGCCCTGCAACGACCTCCTTTTCCTAAGCAAGAGATTGATACAAAGTCCCCTCTTTTGGGATGAGCACTGGGTGTTATTCTGTATGTTGGCAAATTGAACACCAATAAAAAATAAATTTATTATAAAAAAAAAGTCCTCTCTTTTGTTTTCACCATCTCCACGCAGCAGTGGAGAAGAATGTCTCAGGGCTGAGGAGAGGAGGGAGCTGTAGCCTAGACATGGGGTGACCTATGCACATTTTACAAACATTCAAAACCGCTGCTTACCAGGAGTAAATCTTCCTATTTTCTGCTAGTTTTTCGGTCATGTTTGAAACTTTTTTTTATGAGGAAAAGCCACTAATTTAGGCTTTTCAAAGCAGGTGAATTCTTCTGGCTTCAGCCTCCTGGGGGACGCCGCTTGTCGCCGTGACTCAGCCAGGCAGTGTTTTCAGGCTGCGTGGCTTTGCTGGCCCTGCGTGGAGGTGAGGGCGGTGGGCCAGGTGTGGGCAGGTGCTGGAGCGTGGGGAGAGCGCTCAGAAGGGGTTCGGCTGCCAGCCGCCAGCCGCCAGCATGAGGCCCTGGAAACCAGCACGTCCTCCTGTTCTGGACTCTAGTAAAGCTTGCTCTGGCTTTGCCACCGTGATGCTGCTTGGAGGTTATGTTTAGATCTGCCCTGAGGTTAGGGCTCAGTCTACCGGCTTCGTCCTCCAGGTGGACGAGAGCACAATGCCAGGGAGAGTCTGTATTTTCCTTAATGAGGTGAGGCCCCTGAATCTCAGTGTGCAGTTGGGTCTGTTTGTGCTGGTTTCATCCCCCTCGTCCTTTTGTCTGTCTCTGTGCAAATATCATGTGGTTTTCCTGCCTGAAATTCCGTATGATGCTTTGATATTCAAAAGGGCAATTTTCCTCTCCTTCAATTTTGTTTAATTTTAAAACCATCTTGACTGTGCTTGTGAATGATCTCTTCCAGGAAACTCTGGGATCAGCTTTCAACTTATCTGAAAGTCTTGTTGGCATTTTGATTGGGATGAAATCGGCTTTAGAAATTGAGTCAGGAGCGGCTCACGTCTTTAACAACTGCTCCCAGGGGGAAAGGGCGCTTCCTGCTGGAGTCTGAGCCCCGGTGCGCCCTATGGCGGAACTTGGGAGCGTTCAAACCAGGTGGCCCTGCGCATGGGACGCCCTGGGTGTCACCAGGAGTGTTCACGGCACCTGCACATCTCCGGGAGCGCGTGTGTCGGGGACACGGCGGGGGCGGGGGGACATCAGGGGGCAGCCCCGGGGTCAGGGCGAGCCGCGAGGGGGGTCCGCGAGAACCAGGAAGGGGCGGGCGGCCCGGCCCGGGGGTCTCCATGCTCCACCGGCCCCGGGGCTGCGAGCTCCGCTGCCTGCACCTGCCAGGCCCCGCCCACCGCTCCCGGTCGGGTCCCAGGGGGCGCTCCCCACCAGATCCCAGGAATCCAGCCTTGGCCAGTTCGAGACTCCCGAGTCCGGTCCTTTGGGGGCCACTACAGAAGCCCCGCCCATCGCCCTGGCCCCGCTCACGATTCCTGATCCTGCCCTAGAGGGCGCGCCTCACCACAGCCCCGCCCCCAGGCCTGGCCCCGCCCACCAGCCCGCGTCCGTCCCTAGCGGCCCGTCTCCCCAAGCCCCGCCCCCTGGCCCCGCCCCCGCCCCGTCCCGACCTGGCCCCGCCCCCGCCCCGCCCGTCCCTGGCGGCCCGTCCCCAAGCCCCGCCCCGTCCGTCCCTGGCGGCCCGTCCCCAAGCCCCGCCCCAGCCTGGCCCCGCCCCCACCCCGTCCGTCCCTGGCGGCCCGTCCCCAAGCCCCCCAGCCCTGGCCCCGCCCCCCGCCCCGTCCGTCCCTGGCTGCCCGTCCCCAAGCCCCGCCCCCGCCCTGGCCCCGCCCCCGCCCCGCCCGTCCCTGGCGGCCCGTCCCCAAGCCCCACCCCGTCCGTCCCTGGCGGCCCGTCCCCAAGCCCCGCCCCCAGCCCTGGCCCCGCCCCCCACCCCGTCCGTCCCTGGCGGCCCGTCCCCAAGCCCCGCCCCCAGCCTTGGCCCCGCCTCCCGCCCTGTCCGTCCCTGGCGGCCCGTCCCCAAGCCCCGCCCCCAGTCCTGTCCCCGCCCACCAGCCCGCGTCCGTCCCTAGCGGCCCGTCCCCAAGCCCCGCCCCCAATCCTGGCCCCGCCCACCAGCCCGCGTCCGTCCCTAGCGGCCCGTCCCCAAGCCCCGCCCCCAGCCCTGGCCCCGCCCGCTGCTGGCGCCTGCGCGCGGCCCGCGAGGCCTGCTGCTTAGTGGTTCTGAGGTCCGGTGGCGGCGGCCGCGTCCGGAGGTTGCGGGTTCGAGTCCTCGCGGCCGCGCCGCAGCCCCGGTGCCCGTCCCCGACGCGCGGGCGCGACCGTTGCGGGCGACGTGCGCGGCGAATCTGCCGCTGCGAATCGGCGGGCTCGGCGGCGGCGGCGGCGGCGGCCTCGCGAGAGTCGGGCGGGCGGACGCGCGGGCGGGAGGACCGGGGCCGGGGCCGGGGCCGGGGCCGGGGCCGGGGCCGGGGCCGGGCGGGCGGCGGGCGGAGGAGCCCGCGCGGGAGCCGCCGGCATGACGGGCCGCGTGTGCCGCGCCTGCGGCGGGACGGACATCGAGCTGGACACGGCGCGCGGGGACGCCGTGTGCACCGGCTGCGGCTCGGTGCTCGAGGACAACATCATCGTGTCCGAGGTGCAGTTCGTGGAGAACAGCGGCGGCGGCTCGTCGGCGGTCGGCCAGTTCGTGTCCCTGGACGGTGGGTCGGCGCGGGGCGGCGCGGGGCGGCGGGGGGCGGCGGGGGTACCAGGGGACACGCCGGGGGAGCGGGGGGCGCAGGGGGAGGGGGGGCAGGGGGCGGGGGACACGCCGGAGGGGCAGGGGGCGGGGGGGGGGACGGGGGGGCGGGGGACACGCCGGGGGACCAGGGGGTGCAGGGGGGCAGGGGACACGCTGGGGGGAGAGGGGGTGCAGGGGGCGGGAGGGGGGCGGGGGACACACCCAGGGACCAGGGGGTGCAGGGGGGCAGCTGGGGGGCAGGGGACACCGGGGGGGACCAGGGGGTAGCAGGGGGGTGGGGGACACACTGGGGGTTCAGGGGGCACAGGGAGCAGCAGGGGAGCAGGGGACACGCTGGGGGTTCAGGGGGCGCAGGGGGCAGCAGGGAGGCACGGGACACGCGGGGGGGGGGGGAGCAGGGGGCAGCAGGGGGGCGGGGGACATGCCAGGGGGCACCAGGGGGCGCAGGGGGCAGCAAGGGACGCCTGGGAGGCAGGAGGCACCGCAGGAGGTGGGGAGAGACACAGGGTGTCGTGGGGCTGCCATGCGCCCCGAAGCCAGGTGTCCCCTGCACCTACCGAGCAGTGGGGCAGGGAGGACTCCCGGCCTGTGCATAATAAGGGGGTTTGAAGGAAGAGGGGAGGCAGGATGACTGGCCCGCCCCGTGTCTGTAAAGGCCCAGGAGGGCGCAGCTCCGTGACTCTCACCACCCGCGGGCTGGAGGAGCCAGCGCAGGGTAAAGTTGCACCACGGATCCGGGTGCGCTGGCCCCCGGGACCCCCGGGACTGTGCTGTCCCCACAGGTGGGCGCCGGCACCTTCCACTCCCCCCAGGATGTTGTGAGTGTCCGCACTCGCATCCCCACCCGCTGGCTCACGTCCCCTCCTGAGGGTGGAGGGTTATGTGGATGTTTAGGGACCGAGCTGCTCCAGCACCGCGGGGGGCCCTTCCTGGGACCGAGGCTTCTGTTTCTTTCCGTTTTTGTTGTTGTTTTTAAAAAGACTATTCACGAGAGACACAGAGAGGGGCAGAGACACAGGCAGAGGGAGAAGCAGGCTCCCTGCGGGGGCCCCACCGTGGGACTCATCCCGGGACCCCGACCTGAGCCAGAGGCAGTTGCTCAACCTCCGAGCCCCCCGGGGGCCCACGGGTGTCCATGCCCAGGGCCGTGCGCCTAAGCCCCAGGCTGGGCTCCGGCCGGCGGCGGTTCTCAAACACTCAGGCTTTAATTGTTCCTCGCTGCCACCCAGCAATAGGGTTGACTCCTGTCCTTGGCCTGCTTCCTGCTCCCTGGCTCAACTTGGTTATTAGTTGTGAGAGTTTTCAAAATAGGTTTCTGAGGATCTTCTGTTTAGACAGTCGTGTTGTTTACAAATAAGCGCTGTTTTATGTCTTCCTTTTGTGTCTTTTTCTTGCTTTGCAGCGGCCCTGCCTGCCTTCCTCCCAGTCTCAGGGGAAGCGGCCACCCGCTTCCCACCGAGCGTCGGGGAAGCCCCTTCCTATTCCTGGTCAGTTAAGAGCCTTTGCCGTGAGTGGCTGCTGAATTCTGTTAGATGATTTTTCTCTATCAACGGACACGATCGCAGTTTTCTTGTTCAGTGTGTCCGTGTGGCCGGTTTTTGAATGTTGCCCCTGCCTTTCCTTCAGGGGAAACCCACTTGATGGTGGAGTGTTAGTCTCGTGTGTGGGGCTGGGTTAGACGCGCCAACGTTTTGTCGAGATGCTCAGTGGAACGTGGGTGGGGGTGTTTCTTGCGACGTCTTTGGTTTGGAGACCAAGGTACTGCCTCTCAGGGAACGGGTTGGGAAATGTTCCCTTCCTTCCTTTATTGTCTTTGGAAGAAAGTGTAGAATTGCTGTTATTTCTTCCTTGAACGCTTGGTGGAATCCGCCAGGGTAGCCACCTGGGCCTAGAGGGTTTTTCCGCCAGCAGGTTTTTAACTGCAGATTCAGTATCTGGAGTAGTTGCAGGTTATGGTCATATTTTACGCTACCTCTTTCCCCGTGGGTGGGTTTGTGGTTTTGAGGCGTCGGCCCAGCTGACCGAGGTTGCTGACTTTATGCCTGCAGAGCTGTTGGTACCGTTCCCATATCCTTTTGGTGTCATCAGGGTCTCTAGTGAGGCCTTGTGTTCCGTTTACACGCTTCCTTTCACGTCTTCCTCTTTTCCCCTTTGTCTCTCTTGCTGCAAGTTTCCCACTTTGGTTGATTTGGCAAAGCACCGGCTTCGGTGTCATTGCCTTCTCTGTCCTGCTCTCTCCCGGTCGCCTCTGCTGCAGGGCACACATCTTCATGCTCTTCTACAGCGACTTCCTGGGCTGCTTGTTGTCGCTCTGTCACACGTGGTCAGACTGTCCCTCGAGTCCCTGGAAAGAGTGACAGTGACGACAGCAGTAAGAACTAGCAGTTATCGGAGCTGACGCTAGGGTTTCCCTCGGAGCGCACGCCTTCTCCTGCTGACAGCCTGCCCTCACTGTGGTTGGGGAAGCAGGTGCAGAGGAGATGGACACCCCGGGAGTCCTGGGCACGAGGGATGTGCTCCCACCCGTGTGCAGTGGGCACAGGGTCAGAGCCGGGTGCTGCTCGAAGGTGCGACCCACGGCTGTGAGGGCGCTTCCCCAGCCCGGCCTGGCTCTGCCCCGCGGGCTGTTCTCTGGAGGCCCCCGGTGGGTTCCGAGCCCCCAGCGTGGCAGGCACACTGCTCCTGGGCCAGGGGAGGGCATCAGTGGTGCGTCTGCCCGCCTGGCCTCCCCCTTCCCCCTCGGGGCAGTGATGACTTGGGTTACTCTCGGTGCCCCCGGGCTCGGAGCGCGTGCCAGCTGGCTCTTCTCGGATCTTGCTTACTCCCTTCTCGCCCTGAAAGCTGAGCTTGCTCCCAGAGCTCCCTGTCGGGCCCATGGTCACTCTGGGTCCTAAGGATGCTTTCTTCCTCTCCGAGAACTGCGCACGGAGAGTCAGCTTAGGGGTGTACGTGGGGCCATGTGACTTAGACAGCAGGGCCGTGTGGCCAGAGGCCCTGCCCAGAGGCTCCTGACCCCCAGGGGTCTTTCCTGGTGAGCTCCCACTGTGCGCCAGGCCCGGACTCTAGAGGGTGAGGGGCTCTGGTCCCTGATGTTCTCAGGCCAGTAGAGTGTGAGGCCAGCGTCCAGTGACGGGGCCGTGAGTGGTGCTGGGAACGTCCCGGCCGAGTCCTTCGGCTGGAGGGCACGGGTGTGAGGAAGCAGCCAGCCGAGAGGAGGGACGGGTCCGTGACGACTGCTGGCAGCTCAGTGTGGCCAGAATGGCGAGTCACTGGGCAGAGCTGGACCAGCTGCGGCCTCGGTGGGGTCCTGAGGAAGGGTCCCGCTGCTTCTCTGGGGCCAGGCTCACCCCAAGTGTGTCAGGAACCGGGAGGGCAGAGCAGGGCTTCCCAGCACGGTGCGTGTGAGCGTGCTGTGCCGTGTGTGCGCTGAGTGCCTCAGAGCCAGCAGCCCGTCCCCTGGGCGCGGAGGGGGAGGTGCCAGCCCCACTCCCCTGAGATGCAGCCTGGAGGCAGAGGGAGCCTGGCACCAGGCAGCCTGCCGTGACTGCCTCCTGGGGTCCTTCCCTCTCCCTCCTGGGGAGCATGTCCCACGGTCTCCATCATCACAACTTTTCGTGGCTACGGACTTCACCTTTCAAGTCAAGGTGTTTATAATGCTGCTGTTGTCACAGCACAGCCGCGAAGCACCTTCCACATGTCTGTGTTGCATGGACACCCCCCCCCATAATACAATGAGAAAGGTTTGCAGCCCCCAGCCCCGGATGGAGAGGGCCCCTAGGAGGGGGAGCCGCTCCTGCTTGTTGGAGTGGGTCCCCCTCCCCTAACGAATGCTGGGCCTTGCACCTGCCCGCCTGGCCCGTGCCTTGCCCTTAGGGGGCTCTCCCGGGCACAGCCCCGCCAACCCACCCCCCCCACCCCCCAGCCCCGTGTCCAGGCCGACCTCTGGTCCCAGAGGGGGAGGGTTCTGCATCTCTCTTCCTACCCTGTGGCCCCTCAAAGGCCCGGGAGTCCCTGGCCAGAGTGCCTGTTCTCAGGAAACGGCTGAAGTCTCCTAGAGGCACAGTGGTGAGGGGGGGCTGTTCTTTTCAACATGTCATTTGCCGTGTTTGTCATCTCCCTTGCTCCGCGCCGCATGGTTTCCATAATCAGAATTTTAATCCCTACAAAACAGGCCCTTTGGGAGCTGCACCCGGTGGAAAGGAGTCTCGGCTGCTGCCGGCGCTTAGCTCCCTGTGTCCGCACAGATCCGTGTCCAGGTGGCGTCCCGGTCCTCAGGACTCCCCGTGGTTTGCTCAGGGGTCTTGGGGTGACCCCAGGGGCCTGAGTCCTTGTGGGGCGCCGGCTGCAGGGGGGCTGAGCCTACTTCCAGGGCCTCTGGCGGAGGGGTTACAGCAACAACGGAAACCCTCCCCTGAAGTAGGAGCGCAGCAACTTATTCCAGGTTCTGCTCCCCCTGTTGGCGGAGCTGCGGGCGGGATGGGGGCAGATGTGTGCGGAGGCCCTCGGGCCTCCCTGCTGTGGAGGTGCGGGTGTCGCTGGCTCTGTCCCCCGTGTCTGCAGGGCGCCCCTCCTGTCTCCGGCTCTGCCTCCCTCCTCCAGTGGCCTACAGGCAGGGATGGGGGGCCTGGGGGTGGGGGGCATCCCGCGCTCCTCTGCCGCCCACAAGGGGGCGGTCTTGGCCCGCTCTACCTTCCTTCTGTTCCTTCCAGCTTGTGATTTTGTTGCAGGACCTTGCGACAGAGTATTTCAAATGTTTTAAGAAGTAGAGAGAATCGTGTGAAGGGGATCTGCAGCCAAGAATGTCATACCTTGGCGACGACGAAGCTCGATCGCATGGAGCAGTCTAGCTTTTTTTCATGCTTCAGGGGACCTCTCGCCTCACAGTTAAGGGGCCGAGATTTGCTCCATAAGCATTGTTTACACTACCCACGTGTGCATTCCAGATTTTATCTCTTGTAACCAAACCCCAGTGGGTGGTGTCTGCTGAGTGACAAAATCTACATCCGTTTGGCAAACAGGCTTTGACGGCCACCCCCTTGGTGCAGAGGGGACAGGAGCTCAGGGACCACGGGGCAGGTGTGCACACGTGAGAGCGAGTCAGGAGACCGCGCCCCGGGATGTAGCGGCCCCAGGAAGGGCGGCTGGGTCCTCAGGGAGAGGCAGGGCAGGGCAGTGCAGAGACAGGAAGTACAGGTCAGAAGTGCAGCAAGGGTGTGGGGGTCCTGGAGGGTGCAGGGGAGAGTCATGGAGCGGGGAAGGGGGGCAGAGGCGGCTCGCGAGGGGGACCTCTGGCGGCTTTGCGGGACATTGAGGAGTAAGGAGTTTGCATTTAGCACTCCAGCAGAACGAAGTCCCACTGCTTCAGCATAGCGTCTCTGTGGGTCTGCCCTGGCTTCCCTCCATCTGCATTTATGCAGGGGGTGGTGCTGGGGGGAAGACCCCGGTCCTTGTTCTGGAAGCCAGGGCTTCCCAGGGCTCACACCATGTCCTTGCCCATTTTTCTTTTCTTTTTTCTCTTCTCTTCTCTTCTTTTTTTTTTAAGATTTTATTCATTTACTTGAGAGAGAGTGAGAGAGAGAGCGGAAGCGGAGGGTCAGAGGGAGAGGGAGAAGTAGACTCCCAGCTGAGCAGGGAGCCTGCCACAGGGCTCGATGACCTGAGCCAAAGGGAGACACTTCACAGACTAAGCCCCCCAGGGGCCCCTCATTGTCCTTTTTCTTTTTAAGATTTTATTTATTCATGAGTTGTGGTGGGGGGGGGGGGGCACAGAGACACAGGCAGAGGGAGAAGCAGGCTCCATGCAGGGAGCCCGGTGTGGGACTCGATCCAGGGTCTCCAGGATCATGCCCTGGGCCGAAGGCAGATGCTAAAGTGCTGAGCCACCCAGGGATCCCCTCATTGTCCTTTTTCTAACACAGTTATTTATTAAAAGTGCACGTCCCAAAAGAAAAAAAAAGTGCACATCAATTTTAATTAAAACAACATGGCAATTTTTCTCTTTTCCCAGGTTGAAAGTTGGTGGGGGTGCTGGAAACAAATAGGCCAAGATGTGGCTGTCCTGGTCAGGCGGTAGGAGTGGCTGGGTCTTCCGCATTGGTCCTGGTGTATAAAAGATTGCAAATGTAAAAATCCTCAAGTTGTAAAAAGCTACCACCACTGGAACAGGAGGGTGGGAGTGCAGAGCCCTGATCTCAGCCCAGCGAGCATGGGTCTGGCTGTACGGAGCTGACAGGTGGCACCGATGGTGTTGGAATCCCCTTGTTGCTGGTTCAGGTAGAGGAGTCTCCTCTGGGCCCTGCAGCCCTCCAGCCCCCAGCATGCCCTGTCTGACCCTCTCTGGCCCCATCCTCTGTGACCAGCTGCTTCAGGACATGAGGTCTGGGGTGGCAAGGTCTTGGGGCAGCAGATCCATCTCCAGGTGGTGAGTGAGTGACCTGTCCCGGCTCCACGCTCGACTGGAGAAGGCCACGGGCTCTGTGCTGTCCCCAACCCGCCCACGCGGGGCTGGCCCTGCGGCCTCCCTAACCATGGTGACTGTGAAGTGGCACAGGGTGCTGCCCCGCTGGAGGCCCCTCCGCTCTGCCCACTGTGGTGGGTGCTGGGTGCTGGTCCACCTGGCAGCCGGCTCCCAGCCCTGCTCCCAGCCAGGCCCCTCACCTGTGCTCTAGCACCTGCCCAGCGAAAGCCCACTTGTTGCTCTTTTCTGTGTTCTGTTGGCTCGTCTTACTTCCTGTCTTTGCTGGCTAACCTTGGGAACCATTTTGCTGAGATCTTTAAGGAATCTTGTGAGTGTTGGTTTGGGATTTGGTTGCAGTCACAGATACGCTGGAGGTCATACTTGTTCTGCACTGTGTGTGCTGGTGGCTGCCCATGGATGATCCCGAGGTCCCTGCTGGCCCCGGACAAGGGCCACGTGCTTTCCCTGGAGGCCTGTTCCCAGACGTCAGTGATCTGGGTTCCCAGGTCCCTGCCAGGTCTGAGTTTCCATTTCATCATCACGTGTGTCCCGGTCCTCCTGCAGGCTCCACATCATGTGGCTGAGGCTGTGAGGTATCCCCTAACTGCAGAAGCCTCTAACCCTTTGGTGTGTGCTTGGTCACAGACGCACTGGCCTGTGGGGACAAGCAACACTCCCCAGCTCCACTGCCTTTTCTTGGCCACCAGTGTACTCTTTGGCTTCGATAGTGGGGTTTGTAAGTCTGGTGAACAATCCAGACGTCTACCTGGCTGTTTTCAAAGGGTAATAGGGCAGAAGTTCCAGCTCCAGGGCCTTGCAGAGCGGAGTGCAATTTCCTGGGGTATCTCAGCATTGGAGACCCAAAGCAGAGCATCTGCAGGTCTGGCTGTGGCGACCCTTTGGGGCCGGGGCTCCCTAGGGTGCCGTTCTGTGGTGGGCAGCACACGGGGGGAGAGAGGTGCGAGTGCCTCAGTAGAACGGCTGGCTCAGAGGTTCCAGGCCACAGAGGCCACAGCCCTACAGAGATGAGTGCACTGACAAAGGCCATTGTGCAGGTATAACCCCTGTGCATGGGCTGGCCCAGTGTAGGGTGCTGTAGTTTGGAAGGGAGCTGTGCCCTCTCTGGCTGCCATGTGGCAGCGGTCCACTCTGGACTGAGTGTGTGTCTGGAGCCGTGGTTAGAGAGTGCAGATGGGCATGGTCCGCCTGCCATGGCTCTAGGTCAAGGCCACAACCCTGTTGGCGTGGCAGAGGGAAAGGAGGTGTGCAGGTTGCTAAGAATGGCCGCGGGAGGCCCCACTCGCTGCTGCCTCCAGCCGTGAACACTGATCCCACAGTGTCCTCGCTCCAGAAACACCCCGTGTGGTAAAGGTCTGCAGGCACGGATCTTTCCTGCCAAGGTTTGACTAATCAGTCTGATACGTTTTTCTAGGTGCCGGCAAAACCCCAACCCTGGGCGGCGGCTTCCATGTGAACCTGGGAAAGGAGTCAAGAGCACAGACCCTGCAGAACGGTATTTCCCATGGCGGGGGCTCTGGATGAGGGTGGGTTTTGGGGGTGGCATGGAGGTAGGGGATGAAGGGCAAGAGCGGGCAGCCTGCAGTAACCCCTGGCTAGCACTTTCTGCACCGTGTCGAACAGAAGGGTCTTATTCCTGAGTCCCAGGGAAAGCATCCGGTCTTACTCCATTAAGGATGACGTCAGCTGTGGTTGCTCAGGCGGGGGCACGTCTGCCATCACCTCTCGGACACTCTCAGGAATGTTAGAGCATGTGGGATGCCTCCCGCTGTGGTGCACCCCCTTGCTCTGTGGTGCTTACAGGTGTGCCTCGGACACACTGCAGGATAAGTGACTATCACAACAAGCGAGTTACGTGACCTTTTCCCTGGTGCATGTAAAAGTGTGTCTGCGTTACAGTGCAGTCTTTACGTGGGCCATAGCATCATGTCTAAAAAGTCAACGTTCTTACCTTCATTTAAAAATACCCTCATTGCTAACAACGCTCACCATCATCTGAGCTCTCAGCCAGTCATAATCTCTTCGCTGGGGGAGGGTGGGGTCCCCGCGGTGCTGGCTGCCCACTGGTCAGGGTGGTGGGTGCTGGAGGCTGGGGTGCTCGTGGCAATTTCTTAAAACAAGACAAGTATGTTTGCCGCATTGATGGGCTCTTTCCTTCATGAACAATTTCTCTGCAGCAGGTGATGCTGCTCGATAGCATTTTTTACCCACAGGAGAACTTCTTTCAAAATGAGGGTCAGTCCTCTCAAACCCTGCTGCTGCTGCTTCATCAACTCAGTTCACATGACAATCTAGGTCTTTTGTCATTTCAACAGTCTCCACGGCATCCTGACCAGGAGTAGTTTCCATCTCAAGAATGCATGTTCTTTGCTCACCCCTAAGAAGCCACTCCTCATCCTTTCAAGTTTCATCTTGCGATTGTAGCAGTCCCGTCTTCGGGCCCCACTTCTGATTCTGGTTCTCTCGCCATTTCACATCTGCGGTCGTCACATCTGTGATGACTTCGCCCACTCAAGACTTGAACCCCTCAACGTCATCCACAAGGGCTGGAGTCATCTTCCTCCAAATCCCTGGGAATGTTTTGAGCTCTCCCTAGGAGTCATGGATGATCTGAATGGCATCTAGGATGTGAATCCTTTTCGGGAGGTTTTCCATTGATAGTGCCCAGATCCGTCAGAGGGGTTACTACGTGATTCTGTAAGGCGTCTATAACCTTGTGAAACGTATTTCTTAATAATAGGACTTGCAAGTCAAAATGGCTCGTTGATCCCCGGGCTGTAGGATGGATGTGGTGGTAGCACGTGTGAACACGGCATTAATCTCATCGTGCATCTCCGTCGGAGCTCTCGGCCCAGGTGCACTGCCGGTGAGCAGTGATGTTTTGGAAGGAAATCTTTTTTCTCTCAGCAGCAGGTCTCAACAGTGGGCTTCAAATATTCAGTAAACCACGTTGTGAACAGATGCGCCGCCACCAAAGCTGTGTTCCGTCTGCAGAACACGGTCGGAGCAGGTGTGGGGTGAGTTTAAGGGCCCGGGGCCTCCAAGTAAATGAGCACTGGCGTCCGCAGGGAGGCACCAGCTGCGGGGCACCTGACAGGAGGTCGGCCTGTCCTTGGAAGCCTTGGGCAGAGGCCCCAGGCTCACCCCCCGAGCTGTGGGTGCTAGGTGCTCCTTCTTCCCGGGAAAGGCTGTTTGGTCCCGTGGAGGCCCCGCGGCCTCTCCAGGACCCCGAGCTGGGCCTCTCCAGCGGCCCGGCTGCCTCCCCCCGCACTCACGTGTCACCGCCACAGCTCATTGCCTGGAGCCCCCCGAGCCGACCTCTGGCCGTGCCAGACTTTCCCTGTGCGGGGCCTTCGCCTTCACAGGATCGCAGAGCCGGGGCCTTGCGGGCCGGGCTGCGCGGGGAGTGTGGCTGCGGCCGTTGATCTCCTCCCCGGAGGCTCAGACCTGCTCCAGACAGCGCAGGCTGCTCTGCCTTCTCAGCAGTCGTGTGTTCACCAGGGTGGCGCTTTTAATTTCCCTCGAGAACCTTCCCTTTGCATCCACAGCTCGGCTCACGTCAGGTGCAGGAGGCTGTGCTTTCGGCCTCCCGGGCCTCGCCGCGCCTCCTGCCTCGGCTGACTCGCTCCCAGCGTCGCTTCAGAGTGAGGGCGGCTCTTCCTTTCTCTCGAGCCCTCGGAGGCCATCGGAGGGCTGTTAGCTGGCCTCGTGCTGAGGTTGCGTGTCGGGGACCAGGGAGGCCCGAGGAGGGGCAGGTGGGAGGGGCCGGAGCGGGAGCAGCCGGGGCGCACACCGCCACGGGGGAGCTCGCGGCTCGGAGCAAGACAACGGTAACGGCAGGATCGCTGGTCACAGGTCACCATAATGGGTAAAACAAAACATTTGAAATATTGGGAAAATTACCAACGTGTCATGTAGAGATGAAGTGCGCCAGCGCAGTCGGAAGAAATGGTGCCCCCAGACGTGCTGGCGGCAGGGGTGCCGCAAACCTCGTGTGTGGAGAGCGAACGAGGCGCACCTGGGCCTGCCTGCTGGGACGGCGCCGGGCGAGTTGTCGCCCTCAGGGACCCAGTCATAAGTGGCCCCAGCTCTGTCCCGTCCCTGGGCTGTGCTTAGCACAACCAGCTCTGTGTTTCCGTCTCCCTTGTGCTTGTTCTTTGACCCCATGGCTTGTTCTTAGTGTAGTTCGTTCTTGTGAGAAAACCTGCCGTGTGTAGGTCCTCTGCCCCCTCAAAGGCCCGGCCTTACGGTCCAGCGCGTGGTCCCGCGTGGTCCACCCGCACTCGAAAGGAGTGTTTTTCTGCCCAAGTTCCGTACATGTCACTCAGGTCAGGTTTCCTCGTGATGCTCGCTGATTTGGGTTCTGCTTGTTGTGTCGCTGGGAGGGGTGTGCAGATCTCCCATCGTGACTGGATGTGCCCTGTGCTCCCCGTGGCTTTGTCGGGTTTTTGTTTCACCCGTTTTCAGACCTTGTTCTCGGTGCATCCAAGTGTGGAATTACCCCTGGCTGGCAGCCTGACCCTCTGCTGCCGAGGAAGCGCTGTGCCTTGACCCCTGGCTGGGGGCCTGGCTGCGCTGGCCCCTTCTGATCGCCGCCGTCACAGAGCGAGTGCTCCCTGCGGCTGACCGTGAGGCCCTCTGCCTGTCGATGGCTCTTTCTCAGTGGACAATGTATCTGCTCCTCAGACCCGGCACGGTGTTTCCCAGGGTAGCTTGTGCCTCAGCCCCACGTGGTAAAGAGCAGCATTCGGGCAGACGCACGCACGGCGGTGAAACTGGAAACTAAACATAAAGACAGAAATAACCCGTGTTGTGAAAAGTGGTTACCTCTCGGTTAAGAAAGTAAAACCGAACATGCAGAGTCCTCAGAGTGGAGTGTTGGCGGGGTCTGAGGCCGAGGTATTTGGGGAGCGCGAGGCGGCCCTGGGGGCCTGCACCCCAGAATAGACCCGCGCCTGCTGTCCGCCCCACACCTTCCCACGGGGCTCCTGCCTGCGGACAGGGCCTCGGGCAGCTCCCAGCAGCCTGGCGCCCGCAGGAGGGCCTGGCTTCCCTTCCCCCCACCTGCCTGGGCAGGTGTCCCCCCCTCCCGCCATCGACCGCATCCAGTCTCGGCCTGGGGGGCTGCAGGGAGGCTAGCGAGTCCAGCCCCCGGTTCTGTTGCTTTTGAGCAGGGCTGTCCGCCTGGCACTTGGGGCCTAGCGCTGTCCTCGCCTGGCAGTGCGCCCACACTCTGTTGACCTCCTGTCCTTGGAGATTGTTCTTTTCTCTTTGCCCTGGTCAGTTTATGCCAATTTTATCTCCTTCCTGTCATTTTTCTGTAGCTCTTGGGGAGATGGAAAGGGCAGATCCCAGCAGGTTCTGCAGACGTTGTCTAGGAGGTGTCATCGGTGCATCTCGGATGCGTGGGGCTCCCCCCGCCCCGCGTGGAAGCGGTGCGCTGGCTGATGGCTGTGGAAGTGCGCGTGTCATCCTCATGCCTCCGCGGGGCAGGTCCTGGCTGCCCCTCTGCCCGCGCAGCCCCGCCTGGGGTTTGGGTGCAGCCTGTGAACTTCTGCTGTCGCGGTGTCAAGGGCTGTGCGCCTTTCTTAGGAGATGGGTAGGTTGGCAGGTGAGCAGCAAACTGACGGCCCCCACGGCCCCGGTCGAGGTTGATGCTCACACGGTGGGTTGCCATCTCCCGGCATCCCTCCATATGGCGCTGGTGCCCACACCTTTCCTGGGCTCATGTCTGGTTTTGTTGGGGACGCACTCAGGTTGTGGTTAGCGAGCAGGTCGGCGGAAGAGAGCGTGGGCCCCTCGTCCTCACTTCGGGGCGTGTGTGGAGGCGCCGAGAGGGTACCCCACAGGAAGCAGGGGCTGGCGATCCCGAGTCGTTGGCAGGGAAGGTCACTGCCAGGCTGCATGTTTCCTAACCGGGCCCTGTGGGGGGTTCCCTCTGTCCCTGGAGTTGTGATGTGCCACGTTGACTCTCTGAGCCCTTTCCTTTTACCGGGGAGACATTTCTATTCTTTCTGTGTGTCCGTTTTTCTTGCTGTGATGCACGTAAAGTGCATGAACTGCACTGACCCTCCGGGAGCTGCTTGATAAGCTTAGATGAGCTCGGTATGCCTCGCAGGCCGGGGCAGAGCCTGCTCTGGAGCCCCAGAAAGCTCCTTCCTTGTTCTGCTGCGGACGATCGGAATCACAGAGGACGCCCTTTCTTGTGTGCGTCGCCCCTGGGTTCCGTGCGGTGTGGGGCCTTCCTCGTGTGGATACACCATGATTTGTTCACCCACTTCTCCCGTCGGGGGCGCGGGGCGCTGGGCACTGCCCTCTGGCTGCTGTCCACGGCCCTTCCGCGCACGTCGTCCTGCGGTGGGTGCTGCTCGTGGGCATGTGCGTGCCCGAGAGCGGGCTCTCTGGGGCGGCAGGTGAGCAGACGGGCCGGGGGCTTCCCAGCTCGGCTGTGCCGTTCACCCTCCAACCAGCAACACCCGTGCGTGTGCAGGGGCT